AGCATCATGATGTGAAGCACGGTGGTGGCAGCATCAGGATGTGAAGCACGGTGGTGGCAGCATCATGATGTGAAACATGGTGGTGGCAGCATCATGATATGATGCATGATTGTGGTGGTGGCAGCATCATGATGGTGCCAGCAAGACAATGAGCCAAAGCAAACAGCCAAAGCTCCACAGGAACAGTTTAAAGACAACAGGGTGAATGTTCTGGAGGTCGAGTCAGAGCCCAGACCTCAATCCATAAGCCAGTTAGTTGCTGGACTTGAAAAGATCTAAGACCTGATCAACGAAGGGGTAAAATTGTAGCATCCAGATGTGCAAGGCTGATTGAGACCTGTCCACACTGACAAACACTGACTTGAATGAGGTGAAAACTTATCCAAACACTTGTTTTTCAACTTTTCAAAATTCAATTGACTCAATGTCAAAAAGCAAATAAATGTGAAAACTTCCATCGTGGGTAAATACTTTTCATAGACACTGTATATGAGTGAAACTGACTTCTTGTTGTTGAAGAGCACGAAGTCGTGAATGACACAGAAACGAAGCCGAGCAACAAGAACACATTATCAATAATAACTTTTTCTAAACCACCGCCTTCAGCCTGATAATGAGCCTTTGTAGAGTGTGATAGTGATGAATGTGCGGCGCTCTTATCAGCGAATACCTGCAGTAAAAGTGGTACTGCACCGTGTGAAGCGTCAGGCTGATAAGGGCTGTTGGATTTCATGTTTATCTTTCAGTTAAATGGGAAACAGCTGATGTCCATTTTGGTGTTACTTCGTTTTGGTCTTACCTGAGATGCCCTTGGTGAGGTGCATGGCTGCCAGCACTCCCACTGGGAAGGCGAAGTTGCCGGACAGGAAGATGCCTTTGGTCTCTCTGCTGGTTTTCACTTGAGCTGCAGTAGCCAGGCCGAAGTGCTGCAGGCCAGATGAAGAGAACAATGTGAGGTGAGATACTGGAGATGCTTCGACAGGAAACAATCCTTCCATTACAAAAAAAATAAAAAATCAGACATCAAAGGTCCCTGTATGTAGATACATGGTGACCCTTTTTCCCCCAATTCCTCAGCAATTATCTTGTGTTTATTCAACGATAATTAATTCCCTCGTAAAATCAGAGTTTGTAATGAAACCGGCTCCGTCTTATCTGAATGACCATAAAGCGGTGCTATGTTACTCAAACCAGGCTGTAGATGAGATGTTACCAGTAAAAAAAAACACACACACACATTTTCCAGGGAATTTATGGGCTTTTAATAAACATTTCTGCATCGTGTGTTTATCACAGGAATCCATCGACGTGGGTTCATATTAGCTCTGCTGATTGTGTTCTGTGCAGCAGGATTATGTAAAAACCACAAAGACAAATTACACCACACTTGGCGGATGTGTGTTGTGATAAAAGGGGGAGTTTTCCATGTGCACGTCCAGCTTTTACAGATGGATGAAAGAAATTAGGACTAATTTATATCTGATTTTGTGGATTCTTTTCATTTATGTGCTTAATTTCATGCCCTAGTTTCATTTATTACTTCATTGTTTCATGATTTTATAAACTGTAAATAGCTAAAGAAGCCAAATAAGAATGGAAAAATATCAGCATTCTCTTATGTGAATAATATTGTGTGAATCCCCAAAATTACCTGAATTAAAATTTTAAAAAAGAGGGTTTTAAAGGTGTATCTGTCATATATGAAATAAATATTCAAACAAAAGAAAGAAGTTATATGCAATCTTTTTTTTTTTTTTTTGCATTTGTTTGATTTATGGATTTAGGATATAGTTTTTAATTAGTGAAATAATTCTTAAATTTAAATGCATAATATTTAACCTACAATATATTACTCATGTGTTCTGTGCAAAAAAAAGAAAGAAAGGATTTTCAGTGTAAGAGTGGAAAAAAAAGTGGTCCAGAAATATAATGTAAGAATAGTTTAGAAATTGTTCACATGTTTGAGTCTATTTCTCCCCTATTTTGGTTATTATATACATTTATTTTTAAAGGGACTTAAAGAAGCTATGAACAAATGCTGTGATAGTTTCTAAAAAGTCCAAATCGGAGTTTTACTCACCACCAAGATGAACGTTCCCAGGAACTCGGCCATGCACTCTCTGACCAGGGCACTGCCCACTCTGCGGGGAAACTTCATCATGGCTGCAGAACAAAATGAACTCCAACACTGTTAAACTTTCAGCTGAGCATCCAAGAACGACTTCCACCTCTCTGCCTGCTCCAGACGCACACTGTTGCTCATTTATCAGGTCTGGGCCCCTCAGGATTGGCTGCTGCAGAGAGCGTGATGTCCCTCAGCCGTTAGACCCGAAGCTCACAGGAGGCCATAAATACTGAGATTATGTCATGAGAGCGATGGCAGAGGCTAATAAGAGGTTTATGGTTAGGAAGCATCTTTGCCTGTTTGTGCTACATAAATACTGTTTAAATGTTATTACGCTTGTTTGCACACCTGCTGAGATTTACAGTCAAATTATTATTGAATTCTTATTTGATCAACAAGTTCCTTCTTGCTGTAAATGTTTTTTTTTTTTAACCCTGTAATGCCAGGTGGATCATATAATCATTAATACACAAGTTTTTCAGACCTCTACATCATCAGTGGGATATTTTTTTTCCCCCTGCAGTTTACAGATAATCCACCATGGATCAATAATTCATGAACCAAAAATGCTGGATATAGCAAAAAAAAAATACTTAATTTAATTAAAACTCACACATGGAAAGTTGATATTTAATGATTATTTTTTAAATTGTCAGAAGGTTCAATAAACACTCCATTTAAAAAAAAAAAAAAGAAAATAGAATTATCTGGGAATTATTTCATGGTTCAGGCTTTACAAGGTTAAAATGCTTTGTGCAAAACTGTTCATATCTTAGACTTTAGACTTTAAACAACTTTATTGTCATTCAAGACACACAGGTGTACACTGAATGAAATACGTTACATTGGCTCACTGTGTTTGGAAAATATAAATAAATAGAAAAGAGTATAAATTAAAATTAAACTTAGTGAAGAATTTATTTACTGAAGTTAAAGTAAATGTACACGAGTAAATTAAAATGTACACATAAGATATCTATACAGCGATACATAAAACCAGGGTTATATCTCTGGAAATTGTCACACATTTTTAAGAAAATGCAGCTTCTATATCATGTTTAGATTTAAATTTCTAATTAAAATGCCGATTTTAGAAACGGAATTTAAATTAAAATGTAAAAATCTAGCAATACATCTGTATAACACAATGTCTTAGTGTCTCTTGTTTGAGCTATTTACAGTCAAAAGAAAACTGTTGGTTGAATAAAAAATCCCTATAAATCAAAATTTGTAATAAGGATAAACAGATTTGTGCTGAACTGTGTGTTACCATTACCCTCATCATCACAAAATATTTTCTTAGATGATGTTAGTGATTCCTTTTAGACATTTTAATGTTTATTTTTATTATATAATTTTAAAATGCCATGTCTAAAATATTTTTGTTTATTGAAATTGTCACACATTTTAAAGAAAAAAAAATATTTAGATTAAAATTTCACGCTTAGATTCCAATTTTAGACATGGCATTTTAAATAAAATGGGAAAATTTAACAATAACATCTGCAACGCAGTGTCTTACTGTTTCTTGTTTATACATTATTCAGCCAAAAGAAACCTTTCAGTTGTTTAAAAATCCATTTTAAATCTAAATTTGACCCATTTCAATGTTATTTTTATATATATTTTCAACATGCTGTCTAAAATATTTATATCTCTTGAAATTGTCACATATTTTAGAGAAAATTCAGCTTCTATATCATGTTTAGGTGTAGAGTTCAAGCTTAGACTGTAATTTTAAACACAATTTTAGTAAACATAAGAAAAAAATCAATGTTAACATTTCTAAAACAATGTCTTACTGTCTCGTGTTTGTATGATTTCCAGTCAAAAGAAACCTGTTAGATAAAAATTCACAATAAAACAAAATTTGGAACACATTTTTCCCATTTCAGTGTTATTTTAATATATATTTTTTAAAATGCCATGTCTAAAATGATTTATATCTCTTGAAATCGTCAGACTTTTGAGAAAATGCAGCTTCTTCATCATGTTTAGATTTAGATTTCAAGCTTCGACGTAAATTTTAGACTTAAATTTTTTTTAAAAACAAAAAAACAAAAAACTAGCTTTAACATCTCTAACACAATGTCTAACTGTTTCTTGTTTATGTCATTTCCAACCAGAATAAACCTGTTGGTCAAATAAAAATTCACTATAAATCAAAAATTGGAACACATTTGACCCATTTCAATGTTATTTTTATGTTATATATTTACATATATTATAATTTTAGCAAGACTGGTGACCTGTCCAGGGTGTCCCCTGCCTTCACCCTGAGTCAGCTGGGATAGACTCCAGCACCCCATGACCCTAGTGAGGATTAAGCTGTGTATAGATGATGGATGGATGGATAATTTTAGCAAATTAAAACTGAATCCTTGTCTTAGAATCCTGGGGTTGTGCAAGACTGTGATAAGGAATATTGTTCTGGATCATAAATCTGCACGTGGCACTGGTTTACATTCAGCTACAGCTAAATATTAAATGTGTTAATAAGTGATGAGACTGACCTGCTTATGTATTTATTTATGGTCAATATCTGGAGAACGGCTTCTCTCGCCTCGATTATATACGATTTAAATAACAAAGCACATTCGAAATGATAGAAAAGCTGCATTTTCTCAAAAAACGGACACTTTGGAGACGTGTGAATAATTCTGGACGTGAAATTCTTCAGTAAAAATGTGAAAAATCGTCATTACCATCTCTAACACAGAGTCTTGCTGTCTTCTGTCACTTGTTTATGTAATTTCCATAACTGATGTGCTGGTCGAACACTATCTTGCAGATAATCTATTGATGCGTCGATAAAATGCAGCCCATCAGGAGATATTCAGTTACATCATTTCTGCAGGGTCTACGGACGAATGCTGCAAATGTCAACACCAGTAAATGATCCATGACATTATATGATTTTATAATATCTGATGCCACGTTCCTCGGTGATAGCGATGATTAGGATGTAGCTTCATGGCATGATGACCCTTTTCCATGAACTCTGGACCAATAATACATTATGTAACCCAAATCATCAACGTGTCGGAGGAACAAACTGCTGATGGAAATGATCCAGATGAGCTATTTAAAGACGGTTTGACACCAGAAAATTCTTCGGTTTTTGTTTTTTAGCCATCATTTCATCTGAAAAGCGACCTGGTATTCACAGATTGGGAACCTGGTGGTTATTATCCTGCCCTACATGTAACCCTTTCACCGAGATTAAGAAAGGGTAAAAGTGATGACTTATCTTATCGCATCTGTGTTTGAGGGAGCATCGCTGTTTAGTAATAAATAAAACCGCCAAACGCCCTTTGACTTGCTTTCTTTCTTTCTTTCTTTCTTCCTGCACACGAGGGTCGCTCTGGTTCCCTCTGCTGGACGCAAGAAGAACACACGTCAGCTTCGTTAGCGTTTATTAAAAAGCAATAGAAACTCAGTTATTCACAATATATTACAACACGTGCTTCTCATGTATTTTAAATGTTGGCTGACTCCATAAAAGCCGTCAGTGCACTTTGATTATGGCTGAGAGAGAAATCTGCCAGGCCTTGAGGTAGATGTAATCCTGTGAGATAAAAAAACAAAAAAACAAAAATATACACCTGTGACCTGGCGTTTTTACGATGACTACAGTTTGAATGACATTAGGCACTAATTTAGTTCAAGTTCTCAGAAGCAGGGGTTCCGTTTCCCTGTTAAAACTCCTCCCTCATGCGTCCAGATGTTTGGGAGGCCGACGCAGCACCACGTCCACCGGTCCGGCAGGAAGTCGTCTGATCAGAGTCCAGGCCTCCAGGCGCCTCATCCCCAACATGCTCACGCCTCCGATCTCCAGGACTTCATCTCCAGGACAGACCTGGTCGACGGGGCCTCCTGAGGGCAAAACAGAGACGGTCAGTCAACAGCTGCAATGGAAAGTAGGTGAAGTTTCAGGATGACATCTTACTGGACTGATCGTTTCTCTCTTTTTCTAGGAACTGCTCAAACAAAACATGCACCACCAGATTCAGGAACACTTTCTACCCCCAATAACTTTACAGCACTTTACTAAGGACATGAATGTGCAATAATAAAATGATGGCAAGTCATACGATGGCAGTGCATAGATTATATTTTCCATTATATGTTTATCAAGCTTTCAGTTTGGTTGTGTTTATACAATGACAATAAAGAATCTAATCTTTAATCAGAATATCTCAACCACCAACAATTCAAATGATAAATCCTATAATTAGATATATATTTTTTATTTTGCTCAGGAATAGGTGACACGTCTTCACTGATAGAAAATAAATCAGAAGTACATGTACTCAAATACGGCACAACTTTAAGTTTTTATACTTTACTTCATAATTCTAATTAATATTTTTATAATGAAATATTGTGCTTTTTTTAACTTAACTAAATGTATCTGTCTGCTATACTTTTGATTTATTTATTTTTTTTATGAAGCCTTTTTGTATTGCTGTAAATAAACGTGCCCTGCAGTTTTTAGGAATCAAATGTTCTATAAACGAGGATGTAAATGATATATGAGTAAAGCCCTGAGTTAAAAACGTACAGAATATAGACAAGAAGCAAACTGTGAAGGTTTGGTGTCTGCAGAAGCTGCTGAAGAGGAGAGAAATCATAATATTTTTGTAAAATTCTATGCATTTTTATTTATTAAAAAAATAAAATAAAATTAGAAACTACTATTAACTTTCTTTTATTTGTTGCTACGGCTCCCTTTCCCTCAAAAATAAAATCAGATTGCAGGGTATCATAAGACTGTGCAGCAAAATTGCAAGGATTAACCTGAGTGACCTTTCAGCCCTGTATCGAATCAGAACTTTAAGTAAGCCCGTTCAACCCTTACGGATCAGAGCCACCCCTTGGCTGTGAGTTCCTGCTGCAGGGCACAGGTACATTCTGCCAAAATGCAGAACTAACAGACACAAGTTAGTGTTCCTGCTGCCATTGCTCTGCTAAACAAGTAGATCTACTTTGGTTTATTTATTTGTCATTATCTCTTTGCTATTTATTGTTGTTTATGTGTTGCACAGATTGAGTGTTTTACTGGTGGCTACAGAGTAAATTAGCCCACGGGGTTAATAGAGGCTCCTTAAAACCAGGGGAAAAATCAACTAATAATGTCTACATTGAGCTAAATAAATTCTCAATTTTGTTTGATATGTTGTCAGATAATAATTATATCACAATATTACCTTTTTTCCCTCTTTTTTAGTAAGTTTCCAAACAGGGATGAAAATATAACCACTGACGCATGACGTAGAATAGAAAGTTAGATTTGTAATAAAACTGCAGAACGGATCAAACTTTGAGGCACATTTAAAGCACGAGGCTTCCAAATGCTCTATAATCTGATCCAGAACGTGCAAATACCAATAAAAACACAGCAGCAGAGCATTCACTCAACCTGTATCTGGTATGAGATCATCCGAGATTAGAGAGCAGGAGGAGGTTTGATGTTTTCCAACTCCAGACTTATCTTTGTAATCTGGTTTTTAATCGATTTAATTGATTTTTTAACATTGCGTTTTTAAAAACTGATATGAGTTGTGCATTTTTTAATGCATTTATTTATTTTAGTCTACTTTATGGACAGTTTATTACCTCTTCTTTTTTTTAAACTATTCTTTGACTTTCCTTCTATGAATTCAGTCCATTTCGTCCATCTTTTATTGCTGCTCTTTTTATTAATCGAACTTTCACTGCCGGTGTTTCCTGATTTTATTTATTGACTGTTTTATTGACTTACAGCGTGGTGTTTGTTGGGGCTATTGTTTTTACAGTTCCTACAGTTTTTATTGCCTCTTTCCTTCTGTTCTGTAAAGCAATTTGTGTCACATTGTTTTTTATAATGTGTACTTGTTTTATTTTTATAATGTATATAAGTATTTCCTTTCTTTGTTTTTATTGCTGCTGCTCTTACTTTCTTCTGATGTACCTGTACTGTAATGACCCGTGCACATGGCAATAAAACTCTTTTCCATTTCATTTAAAGTAGAAGTGCTTTTATGTCTCTGAGGATCAGCGTCTCTTCTCACCCTGGAAGATCTTCTGGACGGTGAGCGGTCGGTTCCCCAGATTGGATCCTTCTCCTCCCTGCAGGCTGAAGCCCAGATCTCTGCTGTTCTTCTGCAGCTGCAAGCACACCAACTGACCTATGAGGAAAACACAAACTCATTTTAAACTCCTGCATTTCGCATTTTCTCAGATCTCAGCTGCATCCCGACGTCTCACCTGTCTGCGTCTGCGTCCGTCCCTGATTGTTTCCCTGAACTTCCTTCTTGGAGGCTTCGATGACGCCCCCCCTCCTCAGGACCACCACGGCCATGTCTCGAGTCTTGGCCCGCCGCAGGACCCTCAGCGCCTCCCAGTGGGCGTTGCCGCTCAGCGCAGTGCCGTTGATGGATAAGACATGGTCCCCTTCCCTTATGGATCCCTCCTGGGCCGCCACACCGGAGTGGAACACCTTGTGAACCTGGAGGAGAAACATGCAGACCAACTGATGACAAGACTGCATTTAAATATCATCAAAGCGAGCAGGAGGTTGTGTTTTCTCACAGTGATGGGTTTGTTCTGGTCCACGCCTCCGGCCATGCTGAAGCCCAATCCGACTCCAACCTCCTTATGGAGAACCACCACCTGCACATCATCATAGTCCTGCAACAGAGCGATTTCTATTCATGTTTTTTGATTTTTTTTTTTTTTCCTGCACAACAGACACAGAAAAGATGTTTGGAAATAGTAAAGTGCACCTTTAACGCCACAGTTGTAGGATGCAGAGGAAACTTCAAGACAAACTGTATGCTTTGAGGCCTCATAGGAGCCATTTTTAGTTCTATGCATGCGTTTATTTCTGCTGTAAAATGGAAACAATGGACAGAAGCTGGAACTGGGACAAGCTCTGAAGTTTCATCTACAAACCCGGCATGTCATGGTAAACATTACAGACTAAATTTAACATCCGCAGAGTGACAGTGGAGTTTAAGGGTCGCAACATCGAAAATCAACATGATGTACAAAATGCAAGAGAAGCAAGTGAACAATCAAAAACAAATACTCTAGAAAAAAATGGTATACTAGTAGAAAATTCAGGCAGCAAAGTAGAAACTCAATGCAACAAAAATGAATCCATCTGTGATCTAAACTAAACTCATAGGCTGTGTCTATCTGCATGTTTACATCACGGCTCCACATGGAAAAGAATCACCAGAGGAAGAGAAAAATCAGATTGTGAGACTTCACAAAGATGGACAACGATACAGGAAAATAGAAATTAGTGAACCACACTGTCAGCAGTAATCAGGAGGTCTAGAAGGAGCCATAGTAGCACTGATCAGGGCTGTAGTGGTCGTCCTCCTACAATGACTCCACAGACAGTGAACTACTTTCACAATCTAGCTGTGAAAAAGTTGGACTTGGCTCAGGGGTTATCAATAGATCAATGTGGGCTGTGAAGCTGAGATGGATTGTATAGGACATTGGGTGATGTCAAACTCGAAGAAAAACACCCTTGTTCGCTGTTTATCACAAAACTAGAACATAAAACTTTGCTGAAGAACACAAAAAGAATCCTGATGAATGTCAGAGAACATTCTTTGGTCAGATGAAGATAAATGTGTTGGGCTCAGATGGAGTCCAGATGTTTTGTGTGAACCTGACCAGGACCACCACAGTGGATGCATCGTCCTGACAGTGAAGCACGGAGGTGGCAGTATCATGATATGGGGCTGCATGAGGGCAGAAGGTGTTGATGACATTTATAGATGAATGTCTGAGGATAAACCAGAATACTGGCTGATAAGATGACTCCCAGTCTGCAGAAGATGGAAGAAGAGGAATAATCCAGCATGATAGTGTTCTAGAGAAGATCAAAGTGAAAGCTATGACCAGGACAAGTATGTGGCCTGACTTGAATCCAACAGAACTTTAAAGAGAAAGACAGAGCAAAAAAACTCTCCAGAAATTTCTGGACACTGGCATCGTTCATGAAAAAGAGTGGAAATAATAAGTAATAATATGTAGAGCAGCTGAAATGTCCAATGCAGCTACAGCTATGAAGCAGAATGCATGTAAGAAGTGTTCTTAGCTGTTTGTACCTGCAGCGTGTTGTCTCCAAGACTCCTGACATCCTCCAGCAGCTTGTCAAGCTCTTCAGCAGGCATCACAGAAACACAGGACAGAGCGGAAACGTCCGAACTCAGCGAGGCGGAACGCCGGCCCATCGACTGCCACTCATCACTGTCATTCTCCGATTCATAGTCGGCTCCAGCAAAGTTACACAAATCTGACAGACTACAGGAAGCAAAAAGAGTCAATCAGCTGCTTTAAGTATTGACAAACCAGGAATCTGATCTTACAAACTGTACCCACCTGACACAGAAGCTCCTGCGATCTGATTGGCTCATGTTACTGGTGACGGTCACCGAGGATTCTCCAGAGTCCGAGTCATAGTTTGAATCGTCATCCTTCTGTGTGCTTTCATCGTCGTCGTCTTCGTAATCATCATCCTCGTCATCATTCGAGCCTCTAAACTCTGGCTTCAAGCCGGCCACCCAAGCATTCAGGTCCAACACTTGCTTCTTCCCTTTCGGATAAGATGTTCTGACATCTGGAGAGACGAGATCGGGGAGGTTGCTGTGGGAGGAGGTGGCCACAGGACGAGGAAGAGGTGAAGAGTCCAGATCTGGAGTTTTGGCTTCTTGTGTGGAGCCTAAAGTGCTTTTGTTTTCGTTTTTGTCTGCGGTGGGAGTGGCATCTTCAACCGGTGAAATGAAGGGAGAGAGTTCTGGGGTGTTTGTTGGCGTCTTGTCGTCGTCACTAACTGGTGAGGCGATTATAGTTGTTTTCAGAGTTGCTGCGTTGTTGGCATCTCTCTCGGTTGTCTCCTCAGGGCTCGAAACTTTAATGAAATCTGTCTCATCGAGGTAAAACTTTCGTCTCTCAGCGCCGCCATTCAGAGGGATTTCTAGCGTATTCTTGAGTCTGGAATACTTTCCAAAATCATCAGAATCACTCTCCGATTTCGCTACTCTTAGTCCAACCTCGTCGGCGGATAAAGACCTTTCTGAGCCGAGCTTCCTGCCTGCTCCTAACGCTTTCTCCTCGGTTTTATCACACACCTCTCCTCCGTCTCTCAGCCTGCTTATTTCTTTCGCCGAGCCGCTCTTCTTCACTCCGTCGTGGCGTCCGCCGAGTTGCGTTGGCACCGAAAATGTCCGTCTGGGCGCCACAACTTGGCTCGCAATCCTTTGCGTCAGAGCCTCGAACTGGTTGATCTTATTCCTCACGCTGGCTGCAGAGGTCAACTTCTCAGGAAACTTTTTCCTTTCTGCTGCTTTCAGTGCGGTTTTAGTCGTCTCAAACACATCCTCGTCAGCAGCTTTCAGATCATGTCCTTCTTTCGCTGCATCATGTGTCACTTTCTCCTGCTCTTTGACTCTTCCATTTATTCCTCCAGTTTCACCCTGTTCCTCCCTGAGCTTTGTCCTGCTCCCACCTTTGCCTGAATCGCCAATGGAAGCCTCTTCTAAGAAAACGTCTGACAGTGTATTAATCCCTCCTGTAGCCCTGGTGGCTCTAATCCTAGCCGCCACAGTCCATCTACTCCTGCCTCTATCCAGGGACTTAGTGCCCGATTCCACTAACCTCCCCCCCAAGTTACCTTCACCTTCCTCTGGATGCCTGCTCAGGATCTGCCCCTGCCACTGCCTCCCCGGTGATCTCTCTCTTGTTGAGCTTCTCCCAGGAGAGAGCGATGCCTCTGAGCTTGTCGTGTCTTTTTGCGGCCACACCTTTTGTACAGGACTTTTGCAACTATCCCCTGCCGAGAAACGCCTGGGGAAGGTTCCTCCGACTGTTTCAGGGATAGGGGCGTCTTTGCCGAAACCGGCCGACCCGTACAGCTTCTCTATCCGTTCTAGGATACTTTGACCTGCTTTGGGCCCCAGTGAAGAAGAAGTTTCTGTGATTCGCAACCTAGAAGGTAGAGTGTAACCCCTACTGGTCCGGTCTAAAGTAGGTTGGTTCCAGTCTCGAATGCTGCTTGCACCTGCAGGATTGTAAGATGTAACTCTGCCAATCGCGTCACCTTTAACTCCTTTTGCTTCCTCCAAACCTGCAGCCAGTTTGCTGACCCTTTTGGTGGCCCGATCAGGACTTTGTTGCCCCACTCTCCAGTCTAAACTCTTACTTCTACTGGGCAGGTTGCTCGTCCTCCACTCCGTCCTTCCCCGGCTTTCAGATGCAACTTCCGTGTCAGACTCTGGGATTGTTTTGTCTGCTGTGCCGGTCTGGTTCGGCCCGGTTTCCTTCTCCTCGCTCTGACCTTGGACACGACTCCTCGTCCTGGCTTGATAACCAGATTCCTCCTCCTTGTTCGTGCCATTTGCCTGTCTTTCTCCGGCTTCCTCCCTCTTCCTCACCCCCGGCCTGCGGGAGAGGCTGTACAAGGGGGAGTTGGCCGAGCGGACGGTGAATCTGGTCGCCGTCCTCTGCTTGTCGTAGTCTGAAGTTGGGAGCAAAGACAAGTCCATTGTCTGAGAGTAAACAAAGTTAATCACCTCCTGTCAAATGCCAGATCCCAAAAACGGAGCGGAAAACTGATATTTAGGCAAATCCAAGCTGGACTGCTCTCTGGAAGCAGTTCATGTGTGCCAAAAAAATAAATAAAAAAAGACAAACAGCCAAACAGTATCACAGCTCTTCTCCTGTCATCAGAGGAACAAATCCTCCATTCAGACGTGTGATATTCCCGGTTGTTCTCCGCGTCGTGGTCTGGAAGCTCCTCTGGTTCCTCGGGACTCTTCGGTTCCCCCGGCTCGGCCTCAGTGAACAGCTCCCATCGCCTGCCAGGCATAAAAATGGACAAATTTCCATCCTCAGAACGGATTTGGTGCTGGAATGTTGTGATATGTGGATTGTGGGCGCTGTGGCCGCTCACGACGGTCAAACAGAATCACAGAGTGGTGCAGGACAGGCAACACGATACGTTAGAGAGGAGCACGAAGCAGACGGCCAGCAGAGGAGATGTGGAGATGATAAGAAAGGAAAAGAAGAAGAGAACTGGAAATACTGAAGTGGTGAAAAATAGCAAAAGAATGCTAGAAAAATATTATTAAAAAACTCGCGCGTTACAAAAAAGTTAGTGGTTGTGTCACAAATACAGCACATGGATGTTATTTGTGTGGAAATCAGAGTTAATTTTTATAGAAACTTCAAACTCTATTAATATAAAATAGCAGCTGTTGTCCAGACAATGTCGATCAAAGTTCACTCAAAATAAATCAAAGCTCTGAATGTGTACAGACTAACAGGAAAAAGTTTTGACCTCGTTAAGCAATAAAAGTTCAGTTTTAAATATTCTAATTTGAGAAACAAATCTGTGATAAACTGCTGGTCACTACAGTAAAAAAAAAAAACAAGTTAAATTTATGAGGTATACATTTTTGAAAACTGGAACACAGGAGAATGCAAAACAAACTTTTAACAGCTTTTATCTTTTCAATTTTTGTACCAAAACACAGAGTCAAATTCCTCAGATATGAAAACCTACGTGGCAGGCAATATAAAAAAAAAAACAGTTAGATTCAGATTATTATCATTGCTAATTATTTTGTTTTGTAAGTTTATTAACATTTTATTAGATTAGATTAGACTAAGCAATGAAATGCAGTTAGCATCTAACCAGCAGTGCAATGGTATAGATTATAAAGTACAGATATATTGTTAAAAAATAAAAAATACATATAAAGTATGGTGTTTACATATATATATATATATGGCATGGTACAAACTTGTATTCTGTTTCAAGAAAAGATCATTTTAAGGAATATTCTGTCAGTTTAAGGTTCATGTTTTGTCTTCAAGATGATCACTGTATTAATATTAATTAATTGAATTTAGACACAATATTAAATATTTTAATCTGTTAAATTAAGAGTTATATTTCCATCATATTTACATAATTCAACATCTTTAATTGCAATTATATTGGTGATAATTTTGTGATAACAGTTTTTCTATTTGAACTCTTTAATATAGATATATATTCTTTTAAACAAATATATATATTTTAAATTAACTATTTACTGCTTATCTGAAAAGTACAGATTTTTAATGTGAACACTATTTACAGTTTTGGCTTAACATGAATGTTAACACTTATTATTATGTTAAATCTTTTAACCGAGTTGTATTTCCATCATTCTAACATAATTCAACAATCTTTAATTGCAGTTACGTTGGTAATAAATTTATAAAACCAGTTTAAAATAAATAAAAGAAAAGAAAATGTTCAGTCTTTATTATAGAGATTCTTTTGTTTAAAAAATATTTTAAAAAATATCTGTAAATTATTTATATTTTTTGATGATTTTACTACAATTTACTGCTCATCTGTAAAAATATTGACTTTTAATATTTACAATTTTAGACTTTTTCTTTTTAAGACTTAACATGAAAGTTAATACTTATTAATATCTTAAATCTTTAAAAGTCCTGAACATCTGTAAAATAGAAGTAAACTGTTCCAGAAAATGTAAGTTAAACCTGTTAAAGAAAGAGCATTATGTAGTGATAGTGCAGCTCAGAGGCATCAACACACACACTCTAACGTTGACCGTGGCTTTACGGTGCACACTCACGCTACAGTCTCGTCACTTATGTCATTTTGCAGCTCGTCGCTGCCTTCCTCACATTCCCCTCACGCCGACTCAATGAGCCCATTCAGGACTCAGGATAATGAGATAATAACCACGTCTGTGCTGCACACACGCTTCTCAGCGTCTGTTTACACAAGCTACATACTCATGACTACCTGTCAGCATCGCCGACCTGCACGGAAAACTGGAAAAACCCACCAGGCTGCAATCCACGCAGCAGAAACAATGCATTAGAGTGGCACAGTGAGACTGTGGTTGAGTCAAAGGAACACAGTCGAAACCTCGTCCTGGTGGATTCAGATGAACGGATAAGACAAAGTGAGTCTGATTTACATACAGTGAGGCCTGATGGGGATGAAGAGAGAATCACTAATTAAGTCAAATCAACTCATGTTTTCTAGTTTAATGAATTTGAATGCAAGACTTTTGCTAATTTCTGGTTAATTGAGCTTAAAATGTTTCTTTTTTTTCAGTTCAATTTAGAACTTAAAAAGCCACATTTTGACTTAAAACAATGAACTGGATGAATTGAAAGCTGAGAGTTCATCCAACTCATTAAATTAACTTCATTAGAAACCAAATGAGCATAAAAGCTGACCTCCTAAGATGCATTATACTAAATGAACTCTTTTTGATTTCACCTAAAATGTCTATTTTTTCCCATTTTCAGTCCAATTTAGAACTTAAAAACACAAGTCACTACAATATTTTGACTTAAAATGAGGAGTTGAATCAATGAACATCTGAGAGTTCACTCAACTCATAAAATTAAGTTTTTTTTTTAGAAACAAAACTCGCATGAAGGCAGATTTCCCAAGATGCATTAAGTATGCTCTTTTTAATTTCACCCAAAATTTCCATTTTGTTTTTAGTTTTCAGTCCAATTTGGAAGTTAAAAACACAAGTTCTTATAATATTTTGACCTAAAATGAGGAGTTGAATGAATGAACATCTGAGAGTTCACCCAACTCATTAAATTAAGTTTGTTAGAAACCAAACTAGCATAAAAGCTGACCTCCTAAGATGCATTATGCTATGGACACGCTTTTTAATTTTGCCAAAAATGTCTATTTTTCTCATTTGCAGTCCAATTTAGAACTTAAAAACACAAGTCATTATAATATTTTGACTTAAAATGAGGAGATGAACAGCTGAGAGTTGAATGAACTCCATTAAATGAAGTTTATTAGAAACAAAACTAGCATGAAGGCAGATTTCCCAAGATGCATTGTATTCAGTACGCGCTTTTTAATTTCACAGGAAGTCATTTTATATTTTTAGAATTTAATATTCTGCCCACTTTAGAAGTTAAAAACAACTGATGAGTTGAAAGAATAAACAGCTGAGCGTTGAATCAACTTATTAAATTAAGCTTATTAGAAACACAGCTGGCATAAAAGGTCCCAAGACTCATTTTAAGAGACTCTTATTTTGTAGTTTTAGAAAACAGACGTGATGGAAACCTGCTGCGTATGCTGCGTAGTTAAATTAAATTCTGGTTGTTTCTTTAATCAGAAAGAACTTAATTTTGGCAGATTTTGAGAAAGAGGTGAAACTGTGAACATCTGGCAGCAAAGGAGGCAGAAAACATCAGATAACTGTGATATAACGTCAGATATCTGAGCTGATTTAAACACATAGAACACATTACTTCTACTGTTGTGGACATTATTCACAGTTAATTTTGTTTTTAAAGAGTCAAGGTGAAAATTAATTATCTGTAATTTAACAAAACAGGAAAAAAATCTGCAAAATATCAGTTAGAAAAAAGGTTTTGTACCGTTTTCAATTCTATTTTAAACATATTTTATCTGTTATAATAATCTGTTAGAATTGTACTGAATTCAGTCTCTACAGCTGTGGATTTATAATTGATCTCACTCGTCTCATTCTCACTTCACTATAAAGTCCTGCATCTCTGTGGAACCAGAAAAATATCAAGAAAACTCTGAAATGTCTTAAAATGACACAAATCAGAAGAAAAACAAAACAAAACTAGTCCGAAGAAATTCACAGCTTGTCCAAAATGACTCAACATGTCTCCAAACGGAATCAGTTTGTTCAAAATGATGATAAACTGACCCAAAGTTCACCTAAAATGACTTTAAATCTACTTTTTTCTTCACTCTGGGCTCGTTTCCTGGCTGCATTAACAGCATCAGGCGTGTCTTTGACCATTTCTCATGCGACTAGTTGATCCAACCCAGTATCTTTAGTTTATTTAACTAGTTTTCTGAAGTTTAGCTCATTGAACGCAGCTCGTTTTACACTTTCATGACTCATAATAATCAAGTGAAGGGCAGACAGGTCACATGACGTCTCTAAACCAATTGAGCAACACGATCTTTAATTTGGTTTCACATCGTTAAGAGTCAACCTGTGTTTTTTTTAAACAGATAAGGTGTAAACTAGGGTTTTTTGTCTGTGATTTTGCTCTATCTTATCTCTAATTTAAGAAAATAACCGTTAATGAAACAGCTATAAGCGATTAAAAACGTTCTCTCGGTGACAAACGTTAGCATTAAGTTCAGTTTCTTCATCTGTAGATTTACAGTTTATTCAACTTTAACTGGAAGAAGCCTCACAGATTGTCTTTGGATTGACTTTGGTGGAGAATTTATTTAAAAAGAAACTCCTTAAACTTTGAAAATGTAAAAGGAGAAACACGTCTGTGACTGATTAGTTGGTTCAATTTCATATCTTAAGCTTATTGAACTCGATTTCTTAAGTTCAGTCAACTAAACGCAGCTGGTTCTGGACTTTTGCAGCTTCTAATCAATCATTCCATCTCATATATTGGTCAAGCTTCATGGTGGATACCTCTGTGAAGCCTTCTGCAGCTTTCCCTACCTCTGTGTGAGCCCGTCTGTGCAGGTGAGTGTCAGTTTACAGAAACACCTGTTCTGTTTGCTCACAAAGCCTCCCATCTGTGTAACCGGGGCAACACAGCTCGCCTCAAACTCCCGCTGAACGCAGAGCAACCAGGAACAACTCCACGCTCAGCCACAGCCACACGAACCTCCACTCACCTCCTCTCTAGTCCATGGTGTGGGTTTATTCTAAAGGCTCTGCGGCGGCTCCGAGTCCTCGCCGTCCTTCTTCTTCCACCGCTTCCATCAGCTTTGCATGATGGACTGTGTACAGTGACGCAAACCTGCCACACTGGTTTGTCCTCCCTCTGTCTCTCTCCTCCCCCTCCCATTGTTGTTTCCTCCCTCTTTTTTTTTTTTTTTTTTTACCTCACAGGGTTGCATTCCTGACTGCAGTTCAATGTGTCACCCGCTCTGTGTGTTTTTTTAAAAACACTCCCTGCGAGCATTTCATGTGACATCAGCATTCGTAGCTCAAGGCGGAGGAGACTCGCTGCAGATGACTTTGTGAAATGGAATCAGAGAGACGGTTTTTTGTTTTGTTTTGGGTTTTTTTTTTCCCAGCACACACAGCGTGGCCCCGCCTCCGGCCCAACCTGCAGCGGATCATCCGGGCCGAGCAGGTATCAGGATACATAATAACAGAGCAGCTTTAATCGGGACCAGAAACTACAAAGAGGAGCAAATACCAGCAGGGATAAATATTGTTCAAAGCGCACCTCTCGTGTGACATCTGCTCAGGCGTGGACTTCCACAAGAAAAAAAGACAAAACAAAAAAAGTGGAAATCTTCCAGAAAATACATTAAAAAAGGAACATAATACTGTAATATTCAAAAACTGTAAAAATAGCAGCAGATATCAGTAAAAAAAAAAGTGATACGTTAGCTGATTTATATAAAATAAACCTATGTAGTTTTACAATCAAGCACCAATTCCTGTTTGTTAAAATATAGATTGATCAATGTTTTGAACAGTTTTGACTTGTTTTTTTAAGGTTAGCATGTAAGTTCCTCTGTTTTGTGTGTGATTTTACTGGATGTTATCTGTAGAATAAGTTGTAAAAATATTATATGTAATATATGTTAATTATATTATTATATTAATCACGCAGTTTTTTAAAAAAACCAGTTATGGTTAAATGTTGTAAAATAAGCATTTACCATTTTATAAAAATACAGTCTTTCAATGTGGATGGTATTTAAATTATTATTTTTTTGTATTTATGTTTAACGGTTTAAATGAATCCTTCTTTCCCTCTGATTTACCTGATTTTATCTGTAATTTAGCAGAACAATGAAAATCTGTAAAATAAGAGTTGAAAAAGTTATTTACCATGGATATTTTTCTTGGTAAATAACAGCCACATCTGTAAATTTAAAAATAAAATAAAATAAAATAAAATAAAATACAGTAAAACTGTAGGATTTTTTGGGTCATACCTTCTAAAAGTACAAATTACTGTTTATTATAAAAGAATACAGATTTTTGATGTGGACATTATTTACAGTTTTGGCTTGTTTATTAGAGTTATATTTATATAAATCATTTTTTTTCTGTAATTTTACCTGTTTTTATCTGTAATTTAGCAAAACAGGAAAATGTGTCTCTAAATAACTGAAAAAATAAACTATTTATCATTTTCCAGTCATTTCAAATTTACATATTTTTTCTTTTAAATGCTATCAAATATCTATAAGTAAAAACGAGTAAAAGAACAAATTAACATTAACAAAAAAATACAAGTTACTCTAAAAAAAAAAAAGTTCTGTGATTTTATTAATTATTAAGTGTAATTTACCAAAACAGGGAAAATCTGTAACTAACAGTCTAAAATATAATTTCCTTTTTTTTTGTTTTTTTTTTAATAAAAAAAACAAACTATTTTTCAATTGTTGATATTCAGAATTTTCTTTTGAATATCAGCAAATATCTGTAAAATAAAAATATACATTAGCATTAAATAATTATTTATTTTGATTTAGATACAGTAAAAAAAAAAAAACAATATAAAAATAGGAATTTATAATTTATGGTCAGACATTGTAAAAGAATGAAAAACCTTTTTCAAAAACACAGACTTTTGTAAAGTTTTGTCCTGTTTTTATTTTTGTTTTGTTTTCTTTGCTGTGAACATGTCATTCAAACCTTTCCCTGTGATTTTACTAGTAATTATCTGTAATTTAACAGAACAGCAACAACAAATCCTGCTCAACAGAAATATAAAGAAGCCAAACATCACAACAACATCACCAGTAGATGCAATAATAAACTGTTTTATGCTGCAGAAACCTGTGAATTCGGTCACATTCGAAGGAGAAAAAAAGTATTTTCTGCATGGATTAGGAGTCTTCTGACCTCTAACGTCACCATCGACAACAAAAAAGTACTCAATAGAGGCCAAAATAGCAAATCTCTGTTCTATTTCCTGCATGTTTTGATGCACTCAGAGTTGAAGCTCCTGGATTCTACTCTGTAAAACATAACGAGAAAAATTTGTGCCACTCTGCAGCCCCAAGTTCCTGCAATGGAAACCTGCCTAAAATGCAAGATCTGACCACAAGAATGAACCCTTTAGAACCTCTTTTAGTGCCGATTTCATGAGAACAAAGTACCTGATCCATGGTAGGACCCTGAAAAAGTGCTCAGCGCTGATTGGAGAGGACAACAACACTTTTCTGACCTCCTCATGTCCAGTAGCAGTCTTCTCATCTCTAAAATCACCATCAGCGAAGTTAAGATTCACCATAAAGGCTCACAAACCTCCATTGTTGTATTTCCTACCAGTCATATAAGTGAAGTTACATCCACAAACTACTATCTGTTGTTGTTTTGTTGCACTCCGAGGCTTGGTTTTAACAGAAGGGCTGAACTTGTGGCACCGTTCCTGCAAATGTTGGGCACAAAACTGACTTCAATGGCATTTTTTCGTCTTTTTTTAGACTCTTAAAACCATGAATATGAATTATGAGCCCATACAACCACTGAAAATATGGCAGAAAATGCAATTAGACGCACATAAATCGCTGTTTAAGTCACCTTTTATCCATAATTTGATGCAAAACGGTACAAAAAGGGTGCAAGAAGCAAAGATCTACATGAGTAGTTCGGGGAAACTGAAAGCTGTGGACATCTGAACAGAGCTTTACCGCGGAAAATCAGAGCGACTGCAATGTTGTCTAAAAGGTACAAATATCAGAGATTGCAGGTGAGTTTTGCAGAAAGTGCTGTTAGAGGGAGAAGTGGACTCTGCAGGCAGGGAAACAAACAAACAAACAGCAGATGAAATAAACAGATAAACAACATTTTAAACTTGACTTACAGTGTTGTTTGGCGCTCAGAGTCTCGTCTTGTCACGGCTGCTGGTTTGCATGCACCTGCTGCTTCGACTGTCTTCCGTTGACGAGAGAGGAAACTGTGGTCGGCACAAGAGCAAGCTGCAACTGAGAGATGTCTTAACGTCTGTCAGGCCCAACCGGAGCTGATGATCGATGATCCAATCACTGATCGGGAATCAGTGGAAGCCCGCCTGGTGCCTCCTGGGCCAGAGATGAGAAGTGTGAGGGCCGGAGGGCTGGACGTCTCCCTCCACAGACTCCCACCCTTGTTCCTGACAGAAGAATGACTCCCAGTGTCTGTGCAGGATGGATGCAAATAGCAGCGTGTCACACAGACCCACTGCTGAGGCTGTGGATTCATTCCTGAGGCTGTAGGACTCAGAAGGCAGCATGTGATGTCGTGAGAATCATGCTGGGTGTCAGAAGTCTGCCAGTGATTTACTGTCAAGCAGCACAGAAATAAAATGCCAGAATCTGGACATGTGGCCGCTGAAGCTGGAAATTCACTGGATTTTACTTTCTGTCACTGAGTTTTGACAGTTTTTATTCCTTAAAAATGCCTCAAACCAGTCAGATTGTTGAGCTCTGTTATTATCAGTTGCTGTTGTTGTTGTCATGTCTTTTAAAATGTAGTAAATCAGCAAACTTGGAACAAAGCAAAAGATGTTTCCCTTTTATATTTTAGTGTTTCAGTGTTTTTACAGATGTAATAAATATGTTACAGATATTAATTTTAAAAAATAATGTTTTTTGTTTTTTTTTATCACAGAAGATTTCTCTGGTTTTAACAAGACTTATTATCAGCATTACTGCAACGTCAACATGTGTTTGCTTTTTTATTTAACCATACATTAACTGAAAATCAGAAAATGTACCTTTTGTGCTGAACGTCCAGGTAATAATCTGCAGGTTTTCTGTTATTTTTATCGTCTTGTTTAATTTTTTTGTAATATTAAATATCAGAATGTGCCTTTGATTCTTTCTTTCTTTCTTTTTCATTTTTTTTTCTGTTAACTAACAGAATATATGTATTTTTAATTACCCAACAAAATGTGGATGGTGAGGTGCAGACACATTTTATGGATTTACTGAACAATTACATTTAAAAAAAAACAAAAAAAACTCTGGCTTTACCATTAAATGAAAAAAAAATTTTTTTTTTTAATTAATTATTTTTTTTTATTGTTAATTAATGAGAAAATTTTCCTCTGAAAAAATTACAGAACACAATTTTGAGATAATCCAGTACATTGTATGGATTTACTTAATAATCGTAGTTTTTCATGCTGTAAAAACACCATTAAACAGTGTTAAATTATTATATTTTTGTTACTGATTAAAATATCAAAAATGTCCTTTTTTTAACCTTTTAACAATATATATATATATATATATTTACGTCTTCTAGTGTTTCCAGTACAGGTGGACTTATGTCTTAGAGTGTTGAGAAGGAGAGAAACCAGAAAGTTTTCAAATGAGAAGACTGCAATCACAGAATTTACTTTTTTTAAAATGTATTTTTCTTTTCATTCCTCAAACCACAAACATCTGATCGATTATTCTATAAATAATCATTTCTAGAGTTCTTCCAAGCGAGAAGGCCTGATGATTGACTTTTTAAAAAAATCTGTATTTGTTGTTTTGTGTTTGTTTACGTGTTTGTTTGTCCCTCTGACCAGCAGGGGGCACCCGCAGCCAGAGCAGCGTCAGCGCTGACGTCAGCCCGGTCCGTACCGGTCACGTGACCACCGCGGAAGTCAACAAATCAGGCGGCGAGATGTGACAACAACAAGAAGCACTTTACTGGAAGCAACTTCCCTTTTCTCTGTTTTTTTTAAAAAACAAAAGTTTTTGAGGTTTAAAAAACCGACGACTTAAATGAAACCGCCTGTTTGTCAGAGTTGGACCCGCGGACGAACTTTGAAACCGGATTTATCAGCTCAGTTTGGTGGAGAGGCTCAAAATGCGGACCGATTCGTTCCTGTCCAGGATTAACGTGGTGCTGGTGATGGCCTACGGCAGCCTGGTGAGTCTCAGTCCGGCTTTACTGGAAATAAAACCGCGTTTTAAACTCAACAGTCAGAGGTTTAAGTCCCAGAAAGCAGCTCAGATTATTAAAATCCTGATTAACTTTTAATTTAAAGGGAGTTTTTATTTAATCAAAAGGTTTATTTTGACTGGAAATGACAGAAACAAGTGACACCGTGTTATTTATGTCCAAAATGGGATGAGGTAGAAGCTAAATAAAACAAACAAACATAAGAACAAACCAGTTGCTTAAATAAAATTCCACTATACATCAACAGTTAGCAGTGGTGTGAACACTTCTGGGTTTGCAGTGAACTCATTTCATTCATCAGTTTGTTGCCGTATAAACATGTTGTCCAGTTTCCACCTTCATTAGAGTAAAGAGAGAATCTTCTGACCCGTGTCTGTCTTCTAGGTCTTTGTTTTGCTCTTCATCTTTGTCAAAAGACAGATTATGCGACTTGCCATGAAGTCTCGTCGAGGACCTCATGTCCCCCTCGGCCACAACGCCCCGAAGGTAAAACGTACCAGAACTGTGGTCCTGTTCAGGGTTCAGTTTTACAGCTCGTTGTTGTTTTTTTGTGTTTCAGGAGCTGAGACAAGAAATCGACGCCAAACTGTGCCTCGTCCAGAAAATCCACTTCGAGCCTCGTCTGCTGTCTCCAGATGACGACCGGCTGAATCAGAGCAGCCAGTCGGGTCAGAGGACAAACACACACACACACGTCAGCACAACGCTCCACATGAGCAGCTTTACTGATCAGTCCGTGTGTGTTTCAGGTTCCTACGACTACCTGTACCGGATGAAAGCACTCGACGCCATCAGGAGCACAGGTGAGTGTTTCTGTCTCTGTTGCCATGACTACACACGTCACCGTTACCACAGCGTCTCCGCTTTGTGTCTTTAGACTTGCCTTTCCGCGAGCTGGGAGGAACGTCCACAGCGGTGACTGGAAAAAGGTTCCGGACGTGGCTGCTGCAGCTTCGAAACTCTCACTGCATGTTCAGAGACAAGCAGAGTTCTGTGATCGACACGGTGTTGGACGGCTACAATAAAGCCCGACATGGGGCAGAGGTCAGTGTGTGTGTGTGTGTGTGTGTGTGTGTGTGTCACGAACATTCAGTAGCATAACACTGTCATGTATGATACATGGTTCAAACCAGATGTTTACATCTACTGTATAAAAAGACATAAAACCTTTTTTTTTCTCACTGTCTGACATTAAATGTGACTAAATTTTTCCTGTTTCAGGTCAGCTAGGATGACCAACATTATTTCCATTTGGTAAATGCCAGAATAATGAGAGAGAATTTTTTTTATTACTTTCTTCAAAGTCAGAAGTTTCCATCCATCTCCTCAGTATCTGGTAGCGTTGCCTTTAAACTCTATGACTTGGGTCAAACGTTCTGGGTTTCCTTCCACAAGCTTCTCTCAACAGTCTGATGAGTTCTGGCCCATTCCTCCTGACAGAACTGGTGGAACTGAGTCAGG